AAATCTCATTCGTCTGTCTGTCAGTCTGTCCGTCACAAAAACTTTAACCTTGCCCATAACTTTTGATTTAGTGGAGCAATGATTTTCATATCTCACATGTGTAGTCCTTGTGTGTGGACCTTTCTTTGGGTACCACCAAATTTGACCTTTTGACCTTGACCTTGGAGTTTGACCCATTTTAACACAAAATTTCCAAACTTTTACTTTGGCCACAACTTTTGAATGGTAAGTAAAAGGACGTTCGTATTTCACATATGTTTTTCCTGTGACAAGACCTTTCATTGGATGCCAAGATCTTTGACCTTTTGACCTTGACCTTGGAGATTTATGTACTTATGAAAAAAACTTTAACCTTAACCATAACTTTTGAATGGTTAGGGCTAGGGCTTTTGTACTTCACATATGTAATTCTTTGTGGCAAGACCTTTCATTGGATGCCAACAACTTTGACCTTTGACCTTGACATTGGAGAATTATGTACTTATGAAAAACTTTAACCTTGACCAAAACTTTTGAACAGTAAGGGATAGGGCTTTCGTACTTCACATATGCAATCCTTGTTAATAGACCTTTCATTGGATACCAAGAACTTTTACCCTTTGACCTTGGAGTTTGAACTACTTTTTAAAAACTTCAACCTTGGTCACAACTTTTGAACGGTAGATACTAGGACTTCATATTTCATATATTTATTCTTTGTACTAAGACCTTTCATTAGATATCAACAACTTTGACCTTAACCTTGGAGATTGACGTACTTATGAAAAAGTTTAACCTTGAACATAACTTTTAAACAGTAAGGGCTAGGGCTTTCATACTTCACATATGTAATCCTTGTTAAAAGACCTTTTATTTGATACCAAGAACTTTTACCCTTTGACCTTGACCTTGGAGTTTAAACTACTTTTTCAAAATTTTAACCTTGGTTATAACTTTTGAACGGTAGATAATAGGATTTTCATATTTTACATATTTATTCTTTGTAGCAAGACCTTTCATTGGATACCAACAACTTTGACCTTTTGACATTGACCTTGGAGATTTATGTACTTATGAAAAAGTTTAACCTTGACCATTACTTTTGAACGGTAAGGGCTAGGGCTTTTGTACTTTACGTATGTAATCCTTGTAAAAAAACTTTTCATTGGATACCAAGAACTTTTACCTTTTGACCTTAACTTTTGAGTTTGAACTACTTTTCAAAAACTTTAACCTTGGTCACAACTTTTGAATGGTAGATACTAGGACTTTCATATTTCACACATGTATTTTTTGTGGCAAGACCTTTCATTGAATACCAACATCTTTGACCTTTTGATCTTGACCTTGGAGATTTACATACTAATGAAAAAGTTTAACCTTGAACATAACTTTTGAACGGCAAGGGCTAGGGCTTTTATACTTCACATATGTATTCCTTGTGAGAAGACTTTTTATTGGATACCAAGAAGTTAAACCCTTTGTCCTTGACTTTGTATTTGACCTACTTTAAAAAAACTTTACCCTTTGCCACATCTTTTGAACGGTTAGGGTTAGGGTTTTCATCCTTCACATATGTAAACTTGTGACAGGACTTAAGAAACCAACAACTCAGACCCTTTCACCTTGGGGTTATATGTCATAAAAATGACATCTCACCAACAAAGACACCGAAAGCGGGGAACCACAATTCTTTGAATTTGCTTGTACTTAACAAACTCTTACATGTTATTTTATCAATTATTTTCACAGAAATATTGCCCTTTCAGTTTGAAAAAAAAAAGAAACCAAAAATAAAACTCCTGTCCTTTTTATTTTTCACTAAAAACAAATAAACAACTGCAATTCTTGAGCACATTCTTTAAAAAATTGCTCATTCAACTAAGATGGAAGTGTTGTTTTTTTTTTTTTTGTAGGAGGTCCGCGACACATTTATGGAATTTTTACAAAGAGAGAACATCAGCGAAGTCAAGGAATTTATAACAAACACAATAACCAGATATAGACTGTCTACTACTACCGTTACCTGACGATAGAAAGGTCCGCTCCGAAAACTGAGGAGGATGTTTTATCTTTCACTGAACTACTAAATTGACAGGAAGTGAATTCAATTTAAAGATTTGAATCAAGTGAATGATTAAATATATGAATAGGAAAAAAGAGGGGGTAATATTGTTGTTCTGTCTTGAGGTTTGGAGTTAGATTTCAATACATAGTTCTCTGTCTTACATATTGTACCCTTAATAGTAAAGACAAAGTAAACTTACTTATAATGTACACTTTAAAGTATAATGGGCAGAGTCTTCTTTTAGTTTATTTTAAAGTATACAGTGAACTTGTCTAATCCTGGGGTTATCTAATCCATAATTTTGCCAAATTGGATATAAAGATGAAGTCATTTTCAGCTAATTCCTTTGTTTATAATGCTGTCTAATGTGGCCAATGTTTTTTTTATAACCAATGCGTTATGGATTAGGCAAGTTTTCTGTTATAATTTACGTTATCTGTTGAAGATATGGAGTGCAATAAAAATATAAAAGAAGAAAATTCTTTTTTTTTTTATGTTGTATTTCTTAATCTCTTTCCACTCTTTTGACATTTTTTAATATCTTGACTTAAAATAACTTAAAATTACTATAGATAACATACTAGTAAATATTATAAAGGAACACAGTTCTCTGAAAATAGATATTATCTAAAAATGTTTATACAAGGGTCTTATTAATACAATCTTGATCTAGCTATAGAAAATTTAAAAGGATACATATGCAGTAAACAGGAAGAAAAAGAATAGGACCGATATGTTAGATCAAAGTTCGTAAATTAACAAGGGTGTCTTGATCAGTGCCCTTTTCACAGATTTTAATTGTTTGTACTATTTGTTCTTTTAAAGACCCATCTTTTCCCTTTTTTAATCTTTTTCTTCATGGTCGTTTTCCGTGGCTGAAAAATTGCCGACTCGGCGTTAAACAATATTCAATCAGTCAATCAATCATGGTCATTTTGTATGAAGATAGTAGTTCCAAAGTATTGTGTGAAATACTTTTAAAATATTCTAAACAAAGGTTTCTTCCAAATTTCTTGTTTATACATGTAGATACGTTATAATGAAATACAGAAATCACCATATTAATTTTTTTTTACATGAAGAACCTATCATTCCCTTGTTGAACATACTAGAAAATGTCACCCTATAGGTATATGGGGGTTCAGGGAAATATAATTTTTAATGTTTAATATATTTAAAGATATTAAACAAAGCCAAGCGGGACACTCCGTCGTAGAAGAGTACATATATATGATTAAGGTAGCGCTCGAACACGATCCGATACAAATGACCTCACTTCCGTTACGCGCACCAGGATAGACGCTACGCACACAAACACACGCCTTTCTTTATCCCCTTCAACTGTGTTCCAATGGGATAATTATATTTCTCTATTTTCTTTTTATCTTATTTTTCCAAGTGTTTTATACGTGATTCTAAACACAACTAGACATCACACCGTGAAAAAAACCTAACCTCTTCCATATAAGTGTGGAACTGTGCCATTGCCAACCTTTCTATGTTCTTTCAGTAACACTTGCTAAATAAAAACTCATCTGTGCCATTTTAGACATATCTTGATTTTAACAACAATAAAATCTTCCATCACTGTTTGTTAATTAGCATACCTACAAGCTGTCGCGGACTAGACCGTCACGTAACGCGTCAGATGAAAGCTATTTTTAGATGATGTTGCAGAGGAGAAGTCTATTTTGTAGATATTCATCAAAAGATGAATAAATCTTCTTAATTTAATTGACAAGAACTCTTTCACTTCAAAGAAAATGATTGGAATACACACAGATACAGCCAAGAGTAAAGATCACGGCACAAGAGGATAGGCGTGTTGTATGAAGCATCAAAGAGATGCGGCTTGACAGATGTCTTGTAGTAAGAGCTCTGTTGACATCTTCGTCATTCCTACCCATTAAGTCATATTTTTCATCTCATGTCAGTATATCAGTTTACGAGTATCATTTTGAATTTATTTGACTGCGATATGTTAAATACATGTACAAGGTAATGTTGAAAATCTCACTCTCGGATAATTTTCGACAAATAGTTGGAAAATAGAGTTTTGCGTCTATAATTTTTTTATATAAATTTTAAATATCAAATACCTATGTCAGGTGTTTTTCATACAAATTATAATAAGCCATTATATTCTACGTTTTTTTTTTCTTGGTTTCGTCAATCATCATTCATGACAAGGCGGCTGGTGTGATAGACAGGTTTTTTTCATCAACTTTTTTTATTTATTTGTTTATTGTATTTTTTCCAACAAGATTAAACATTGTAGTTTACAACACCATTTTTTCGAATGTCTGTTTTAGTAGCAGCAGATCTGTAGCGTTATGGTTTTATATATTTGTCTTTGATCATTATAAATATAAAAAAAACCATAACGCTACATATCTGCAGCTACTGTTTTAAGTACCAAGAAAAAATATTTCACATTCATTCATTGCCATACTTTCAAATGTACGAAACCACTTTTTTTTAAAATTCAAAATACTTTTAGGAAAAAAATCAAATTAATTTTATTTTCACTATAGATATTAGTTAAAATCATTTCTTAGTAAAAATGGATATAAAAACGAACTATAAGAATTTAAGTTACAAGAAAAAATTTTCTTTTTTAATAAGTATTTTTCATTATATACGAACGCCGCTTTTTGAGTCAAAAAATCTTTTTATGACGTAAACAACATACAATAAATCAGTCAAACACAACTAAGTGATATTATTTAGTTTTTGTTACGTTCGCGTTGTCCGTCCGTCTGTTTGCAAATAATTTTCCAAAATGCTACTCCTCCTACAGTTTTGGTCTAATTTCAGTGTAACTAGATATACATATTTCTGTTTATTGGTTATTGATTTTGATGAATGGTTTTGTCGTGGTAACTAAGACAATTCTTTGAAATACTTTCAAAAAGATGCTCATACAGTTTTAGTTTGATTGCAATCTTTCCATGAAAAGAGACCAAACGAAGGATCTGTAGCGGCTTTTTAATTGCTGATACAGATTAGTTTTTATGTCCAACTGCTACTTTTGTCTTCCTTTGTTATGAATACAAACTAGTAGACAATAGAAAGCATATATTTGATTCATAATTCATTTTCTTAATGGTCATTTAAACATGATTAATATGTTAATGACACGACTTTTGTAGCAGAGTATATAATTGTTAGTCTTTATGAAAAAAATACACAAACTTATGAATTTTATAGCCCCGTAATTGAAGTTTTACATTGCCTGTAACTTTTGATTTGTTATACCTATGGCTCGCATATTTCACATTTTGTATATACATGTATTCCTTATGACACGGCCTTTCTTTGAGTACCGTCATATTTGTCCTCGTATTTACAGTTCGATTAAATTTTGAAATAATTACCTAAATTTTGACGTTTTTCAAATGTATTTTCAATGAGAACAAGCCCTTTCTTTGGATAACAACAAAGAGCCATAGCTGCCTTACCGACGACTCGGCCTACACAAGTATTTAAAAGGAAATCACCTGTTTCTATTTATAGATACATGTACCTTTTCAAATCAAAATCAATCCACATGTATGTATTCATTTGTGAACCAGTGTTATATTTCCTTAGTTGCAAGTTTGTTGCATGACAGTAATTTTACTTGTCTTACACTCTTATTCTAAACAAGATTGTTTGAAAATTTTAAAAATAAAACAGGCTAGCAGCTATGACTTTGGTTCATTAAAATAGTTTAAGACTCTTTTTCCCCAAGATACATTCAATGTGTAATTCTGCATTATATATCTCTTTTAAAAATTATTTATACAATCATGTATTATAAAATGATAAAAGAAAACATAGGAAAATGCACACAGAAAAAAAAATAAAATCGTAGTACACTCACTATGAGACTCGAACTCACGATCATTATATCTTCAATCCAGCAATCTTACCACTATGCCACGAAGTCTTGGTTAACATGTGGATAAAATTAAGACAGATTGTTGAATTTTGAAATAATTTAAGAAGAAAAATTAAATACATATTTTTAACATTTCAATATGAAGACCACCTTTAACCAAAATTATCTAAGCGTAATGAAGTGCAGTCATATCCTAATAAAATTATTCAGAAGTTGTTTTTCTGGTTAAGGGTGGTCTTTTCCTACAGTTTGTCATTGTTTAGGGGGTACCTCAGTATTTACTATATTCTCCATATAAACTGAACGATTTTTATAACTATCATATGAGGAAACTATTAATAATTGAGTATTATTTTTATGTGAGTTTCTTTAAGGCATGTATAAACTACCATTGTATGGCCAAATTTTTCTTAAACAAAGTATTTCACAAATCACTACTAGAGTAGGCTAAAGTGACTATCAAATGCGCTATGGCTCTTTCATCAACTTACCTTGGAGTTTAATTTTAATTTGCCCTCTCCCTGCAGGTACAAAGCAAACAGTGATTATAAAAGAATGTACAAAAGAAAAGAAAAAAAAACACAAACAAAAATGAACAAATTTACATAAGGAAAAAAAATACAGAAAGTCATATAAAGAAAAAATGTTCAAAAGAGAAAAATAGAATGAACAAAATAACAAAAAGGGCAAATTACAGGGGGGAAAACAAAATAAAAAGTAGTACCGGTTTGGGAGTATTTCTAACCTTAGAGTTTGACTTGCATTTGAGAACGTTTAACCTTCTCCAAAAACTCATATGAGGGCATCAGTGACTGTGTTTCACAAAAACATTTTGTTATTGTTTGAGTTCGAACCCCAATAAAACCACATTTTATTTAATCAGGGAATGATTTTTGCTCAAAAATTATTCTTAATAAAAAATAAATTCACAAACTGAATATGACTTATATACATTTGAAAATATTCGCATTTGGCACGACTTGTTCTGTCAACGTCTTTTAAACATATTAATTGACAATTTGATTTATTTCAAAATAAAGTATTTTAAATTAATATTTTTTCTATTTCATGAATGCAGGATCTTGTTATTTAATATTTACTTAGTTTTTATATACTGTAGACGTACTTTTTTCCACGGGGTTATAATTCCGCGGAATCGCAATTTCTATTTAATCCGCGTGTAGAAAATTACGCGGATTTCCTAGACTGTCACTATATGCCTTAAATTTATATTCAGAACGCTTGGACAAATTTCCGCGGAAAATTTGTGACCGCGTACATAGCGTAAATTAATACCACGCAGAAAAAAGTACTTCTACTGTATATATATATTTCTATGTTTGTGGTTTCTATTTTAACCTTTTTAAAGATAATTTTAACGAATTTTTTACGGCTACAGTAACTGTGAAAACTATTTCCTTTTTATATACATATTTACTAATAGAAATAAAGACTAACCCCCTGCTCCGGACGGCCGGTATTACTTCCGTTATCTAACTTCCGGTTATACCCTGTATTGCGTAAAGCTGATCAATGGACATATTCTCGCTTAAGGTGCGCATCTCTCGAT